AAGGTATTAGTTGATATATTTGAAAAAAGAAAAATTTTGTCTAAACTTGTGGCATTTGCTTCTGATGGTGCTTCAGTTATGCTAGGAAAAAACGAAGGAGTGGCTGCAAAGCTTTCTAGAATTTGCACTTATCCTTTAATTGTTAATCATTGTGTGGCTCATAGATTGGCTCTAGCATGTAAAGATGCAAAGAAAGAACTTAGATTTTATGAAGAAATCGAATCCTTGGTTAGAAAAATTTACAATTATTTTAAAAATTCATGCTCACATATTCAACAACTGCAAGAAATTCAAAGTCTTTTGGATGATCCGATTTTAAAAATAAAAAAGTTGTATGAAATACGATGGCTTGCATGGTATGATGCTATTAAAAATATCTGTAATTCAATCCCTGCATTACTTAGGATTTTCAAAGAGTCAAAAAATAAGGATGGAAGGGAATTATATGAGCGGCTAACATCTTGGAGAATTCTTGCATTTTTGTATTATTTCTATGATATTTTAGAGCATGTAACGCAATTAAGTAAATTTTTACAAAAAAGAAATTTAAAATTTTCCGATATCGATCCCATGATACAGGTTACAATCAACTCTATTCAAAAGGAGTATATTCTATTAGATCAAAATCAAAGATTCGGACAAAAAGTTCAAACGTTTATTGATGAAACTAACCCATTTGGAAATTCTTCAATAAAATATATGAATAATGATCTTTCATTTATTGAACAAGATTATGATGATTTTACAATAGATATACTTGAATATTCAACAAGCATTGTTAATGAACTCCAGCAAAGATTTCCTACTCGGCAATTATTTACTTCTATGAAAATATTAAATCCGCGTGAATGGCCAAAAGAATCTCAGGAACTATTATGGTTTGGAGATAATGAGTTAGAAAATATATTAAAATATTATGAATGTCCAAATTTTCATAATAATATTCAGTTACCTGCGATTTTTGATATTAACAAATGCAGAGAAGAATGGGCAAGGTTTAAAATGATTATTACTAACAATTTTGCTTCTAATGACATAGAGGTAATACTTCCTCTATTAATAGAAGATTATATTGATGTATTTCCGAATATTATCAAGTTAATTCAAATAGCTTATTGTATTCCCTTTTCAAGTGTAGAATGTGAACGTGGTTTTAGTAGACAGAATAAAATTAAAACAAAAGACAGGAATTCATTAGCTACAAATACGTTGGATATGTTAATGTGCATTTCTTTGGAAGGGCCAGAAAGTAAGGAGTTTAATTATAATCGTGCATATACAATATGGAGTAACCCGAAAAGACATACTGGCTTTAAATAATCATATTGTAATAAACTACTGAAATAATAAATAATAAAATAAAGATAAAAAACTTTTTTGCGATATAAATTTATTAAATAAAATTTCCGGTATTTACAAAATATTCCGGAAATCTGCTACGTCATGACCGGAATAATTCCGGGATTATAAGATTTTACCGGTTTTATCAGAAATTTACCAGAAAAACCGGTTAAATTATAATGGATTTTCTGCGCTGAAAATAAGTGTTTTTCTGTTTTTTTTATAATTTTACACTATAATTTTTGTAATAATCAATAAAAGTTATTTCATTTTTACTTAGAAAATTTTTTAAAAATATTTTTTTTGACAAATTTTACAGTAAATTTTAAAAATAAAAATTCCGCGTATTGGTAGTGTTACAAAAAACATGAATAAATCCATAAATATCTATTCAATTATGATAAAAATTTATATGTAAGTATATTCGAACCTGCTGAACAACTTTACATAAGAAGATTTTGGATGTTTCCTTTGACTAAAGTGCCTAAATTACGCTCTGAAGTCACAGAACAGATATACGAAATATTAATAAGAAACATTTATAAGTTGTAATATTACAAAAAAATAATAATAGCTTTATCC